TCTGCTGGCTTGGGGACCCACGGCCGCAGGCTGCGCGGAGGTCGAACTGGACCCGCCGCGGCTCTCATCGCCCGCGGGGGTATTCAAGAGTCTGCGCGGAGATAACCCTGCGTCTCGCAGATGTGGAAGTTTAGTCCCTGGGTTACTCTTCCAACGACCAGGACGGGCAGAGGTTTTCCTGTTCCACCGTTCCTACCACCCGTCCCTTACTCGTAGCGCGTGGTTTGACAAAGGACTTTTTTTCTTTAATCTTTAAGCTGAGCAGGCTCACAAGGTGGTTGCAAGTTACAAACCTTCGAAGTTTGACAAAAAAATCCTCCTCTGGACTGGACGTTTCAAGACAGAAGAAGAGATTCCTCTGAGGATCCCGTAAGTGCGCTGCTCTTGTCCAAGGGGAACACACAGAGCTGAAGGGAAAGCGGTGGTGTGATCCTGATCTAGAGCTTTTCCACAAAGTTTGAAGCAGTCAGTTTTTCAATACTGAAAACTTGGAAACAAATTAGAGGGAAAAAGCATTTCCTGTCCTGGTTAGAGGTTAAGATGAAAAAATGTTCTTTACTGGGGTCCCCAGAGCCTGGGATTAAGAACTGGATCCATCTGAGAGATAGCCTTGGTTGCATTTGTGTACTGGCTTGTTTATTTTGCTTATTCCTAATGTGCAATCAGAGAAGGATGTTATTGGTAAACAATAATTTCTGTTTATAGCTCCCATAAACAGTTCTAAGGGAGCTGACTGTCACTGAATGATTACATCCAACGAATTATGATTTATGATAGAATTTGAGAAAAAATAGAGAAGGTTATGAAACATCCCTCACCAAGGAAAACTGAGTACTTGACGTAGCCTTAGCCTCTCATTCTTGTTGACCCATTGAACTAAATGAGCTTTGAAGGTCCCTTCCCACCCAAAACATACTGATTCTGAGGTTCTCTGACTCACTGAAAGTTAGTATGCCCCAAGGGAGTTGGTCACTGAACACATGAAACCCCTCTAATGCCAGTTAGTGCCTTTTGTAGGATGTTAGTGTGTTAGACGTCTGTCTCCAGGATGCTACTTTTTCTCATCATAATGTCATAGAATCATAGAATGGTTTGGGTTGGAAGGGACCTTAAGGATTATGTAGTTCCAAGCCCCCTGCCATGGGCAGGAACACCTTTCCCTCGATCAGGTTGCTCAAAGCCCCATCCAACCTGGCCTTGAATACTTCCAGGGATGGGGCATCCACAACTTCTCTGGGCAACTGTTCCAGTGCCTCACCATCCTCAGTGAAGAATTTCTTCCTTATATCTAATCTAAATCTATCCTTTTTCAATTTAAAGCCATTACCCCTTGTCCTAACAGTACACATCCTTGTAAAGTCCTTCTCCAGCTTTCTTGTAGGCCCCCTTTAGGTACTGGAAGGCTGCTAGGTCTCTCTGGAGCCTTCTCTTCTCCTGGCTGAACAACCCCAACTCATTATGTCCCTGTCTTGGGTGGTATGTTGAGCATAAACAGCATGCAGAACTATGTCAAGCAACAGGTACATCCTCTGCTTGTTCCTGTTGGTTCCTGACAGCTTCACTGGTGTGTCCTGAGCTGGACAGTGGCTCTCTGCTGTCCCACCTCTCTTGCGCTGTGTTAGTCCCACCATCTTCTCCTAGAGGAAGGTTCAGACAGGTCTCAGAAGCTCTAAAAGCTATTCAAGTTATTGGGAGGTGTTTATAAAGACATAGGCGTTTGTCAGTCCATACACATGCATGCACACAGATCACTCATTTCTGTGCGGTAGCTGGCCTGCCAAGCACGTGTCACCACTTTGTGTTTTCTGGGTGAGGAAAGTCTTTTTAAAACTGTAATATCATAAATAGTAATATATTAGAAGTTAACTGTGAGACATCGAAGCAGAACTGTGTCACTGTTTTAACTATTAAAAAAAAAAAACAGAATTGCAAGATATTGTTGCCTGTGAGTATAATGTAGCTGCTGAAGGTGCTTTGTACTAAGGGTCAAATTTGAAGTCCTTATTCAAGGTTTTTTGTTTTTATTTTTTTTTTTTTTTTAAAGCTGTTACTGACTTCAGCAGAGGTTTAACCAGAGTCTTGATTAAGAATTGAGTAGCAAAGGCTCTAATGTGCAATTAGGGAAGAACATAATCAGGTCTGTTTTTCTTAAAGCAGAGGCAGAAAGCAGGGAGAAAGTGAAAATCTGCTTCAGAAGAGTTTCAATTAGTGCGTTGTGAAATAAGCCAGACTAATAACATTTATGTTTTTTCTCTTGTTGCTACAAATGGATTAGTGGGCTAATGATTTTACGTGCTAGTCTGATGTGCGGTTGGTTTTAAAGATGATGTGTGTTTACCGTTGTACAAAACAAAAGCAGTTACTTAGAACTGCTCTCATCTGCATCTTCCTGCACCTGCAAGAAACACGGTATGCACATGTGCTTGTGTGTGCGTTGGCAGGGAAGGGGGTAGTATGGCATAGCCATGCATAAGACTTGCCTCTTCCTTTGCCTTCCGTTGCACTAAGCCTTAGAGAGAAGCACTGCTGCCCTCAGCCTTGGTACACGCTTCCAGAGGCAGAACTTTCACTCTAAAAACTCCAGCTCTGCCCCATCCCGCCACTCCTCCTCTTTAAAGAAAAGCTACAGGTGTTGTGGGGGAGAGAGATCATTACAAGATCTTTACTCGCACCATAGAATCAATTCTTTATGCAACTATCCTTTTTACATGCATATGTGTATAAACCCATAACTATATATTATGTATATTGATATTCTATATATTATGAATATATATCAAGCATTCCCATGTGATTTATGACAGGAAAATAGTGCACAGCTGGCATTATAATGAACATCTTACAAACTGTACTCCCAAGTGTAATGACTGGCTCATAAAGACTGAGCTGGAAGTTCTGAGACCGTTTGAGTGATAACGGAGATGTCCTGTACTCCTGGTTCTCAGGGTACGCAGCCTATTGCTGCTTCTCAGAACAGAGGAGGCTGTAAATGGGAGCTTGCTGGGCCGTACAATGCCTCTCTTGCAGCAACTACTGCCAAATGCAGGGCAGAAGTTTTCATTTCTTTTGCCTTTTATGACCAGCAAAAATAATAAATCAAATTGTTCTTGTTCAGGTGTGCGTTCCTGTAACAGTGAGAGGGCTGACATCAGCTGCCTGCTTTGAGCAAAGCTGCTGCTTTTCTGAAGAACTGACTAAAAACTCTTGCTTGTAGCAGTACAAACTCTGTTCTAATCATGTACCCAAGTATGTAAAGTCCCTAGCCCACAGTACACCGGATGACATCTGACCAGCTTAAATGCGACAGCAATTAATTTTAAAGTTAATTTTGAATAAAAGGATCTCACTTTCACCACATCTGGTTGACAACACATACACTTCCCAATCTGTTTAAAATAGGTAAAACCCCTTAAATTTCTAGAGTTTAAGGTTGATTTCTGGTATATTTAAGTCCAAATATTTATTGTGTGAGCAATTTTTTTTTTTCAGCGTAAAAAACTCAACAAACCCTCTTAAATCCATTAAATGTTGCTTTTCCACTGCAAATGGAACAGGGTCAGAAAATGCAGAGTTCTTGGGTAGTACATAACCAATCCTAGCAAGCTGAAGAAAGTTGTTTTAGGAGCTAACTCTTATTTTTCCAATGGTGATGTTATGCCTGCAATGCTTTGAAGAAGAGACACTTTACAGCTTTGTAAGGACTCAATTCAGTAACTTTAATTGCAGGCCAGAGATGCTAGACAGGGCAAGAAACAAAGCTCGAGTTAAAGCTTGTTACATCATGATCGGACTCTCAGTCGTCGCCTGTTTTGCAGTGATCGCCTCAGCTAAAAAGGTGAGTACAGCTCTAGCTCATCAATACGGAGCATCCTTAAAAATGATGGAAAGTAGGCAAACCTCAACAGCAGTGACTTACACCTGCCCCAGTTTTAGCTAACCTCTGTTCCAGTCACCTCTGACGTGTAAGTGGTCACTGTCTGTTCCTGAGATGGGGTAGCTTTCCCTGAGGTGCATCATTACTCCTACTACACTGCTCCTAAGTAGATGTGCTCTTGC